TGAGATTCCCAAAGAGGAGAAAGAATATTCAATTGTATCTGCTGTGGTACACTGCTTCATTGTCACATCTACTAAATTTTATGATACCTTCTTATCACAGACAGCTTTGTGCAGGCTGGGGCAGTACAGAGAGCTCTAGAACATTGCTTGTTCTTAACATTCTAATGACCATGTGAGGGAGATGTACATCCAGAAAACGAAATAGCTACATAAGTTGTTCTATAACAACTATATACAAAAGTCCCATTGAAGAAGTGATCACTATTCGATGGAGAAGACAAAGAAAGCCTCTTAGAGAATCTAGAATTCTAGGTGAACCTTAGGAATGTCTTCATTGTTAGTTAAATGGATAAAAGGGTGAGGGCAAGGCTTACGAATAAAAGATAATATGTTTCTGCCCTGGCCAGTTTGGCACAGTGGATAGGGCATCGGCCTGCGGACTCAAGGGTCCCGGGATCGATTCTGGTCAAGGGCATGTACCTCGGTTGTGGGCACATCCCCAGTGAGAGTGTGCAGGAGGCAGCTGATCGATGTTTCTCTCTCATCGATGTTTCTGGCTCTCTATCTCTCTCCCTTCTTCTCTGTAAAAAATCAATAAAATATATTTTAAAAAAGATAACATGTTTCTGAATGTATAAAGAATGTGGAGTAGTTTGGAATAGTTTGTCCTTAATTGAGGGATTCTTGGAGGTGTCAAGTAGGAGATAAATTGGCAGTCATCGGAAGGTACCAAATTATAAGAGCTCTGAATGCTAGCTAGGCTTAGACTGTACCTTACTTCCCTGAATTAATTTGGGTTGAGGCCTCTTTCAAAATAAGAAGATGGAGAATAAATATTAATTCAGTGCTTGTTTTATGGGATGTTTTATGGGTCTAGTCTCTATACTAGCCCAATAAGGATTGCTGGGCAGCTTTATGGAAATGCAGTATTTCAGGCATATTGTGAATAAAAATCTGCATTTTAATAAGATTCCCAAGTGATTTGTATAGTCACTAAAAAAATTGAAAAGTAGTATAGGGAGGAGTCATTTGATTCTGTTATTCTAAGTCAAATGTTTATAAGTAGGAACATATTTTTCAAGAGAAACTCTATAAGGAATTGGATTTCAGCCTACCCCATAAAGGCATAAACAATTCATAATTAGAAATACTCTGTGGGATCTAGTGCTAAGTTCCAAGTGAGGCAATAACTGCTGGAGTGAAGAACAGAAACACAGACTTGTGTTTTGTTTAGGAAAAGGAAAAAAGGAAGAGACGTCTGTCACACTGCTAAGTGCTGGATTAGACATTGTGTGACATAAGCTTAGTGGCTGGGGGATCCTGATTCTGGAGTATAACAGCTGTGTTGCCAGGAGAGATCTAAGGTGCTTGTAGGAAATTCTCTCTTCCTTAACATAAAGGCAGCCTTGATTCAGGAAAAGAAAAAATTATTTTCATAAATTATACAATTTCTAAGACACTTTGTCAAGTAAAAATGTACAATGTGGATTAGTATGTGTAGTAGTAGTATGTTAAAGTGAAGTATCTTGTTATTTGCACATGTACAAATATGTATGTGGGAACAATTCCTAGGAATGGGATTATTTGTACAGAAGCTGTGAGTATTTGTAATGTTTGTAGATTTTATTTAATTGATCTTAATAAGTATTGTGTCATATACACTGCCACCAGTGGTGTATAACAATACTACATTATATATCCAACTATTTTATCTTTGCCAGTGTGAGTTAAAAAAATGGTATCCAAGGTTGCTTCAATTTGTATCCCTCTAACTGGTGAGATTGATATCTTTAAATCTATTTAAAAGTCATGTATGTGAAGTATCCACATTCTTTGCCACTTTTTCTACAAAGGTATTTCTTTTCCTTTCTTATTTATAGGAATTATTAATACACTAGAGGCCCAATGCATGAAATTCATGCAAGGTTGTGTGTGTGTGTGTGTGTGTGTGTTCCTCAGCCCAGCCTGCAGCCTCTCCAATCTGGGACTCCTCGAGGGATGTCCAACTGTCCATTTAGGCCCGATCCCTAAACGGGCAGTCGGACCTCCCTCTCACAATCCAGGACTGCTGGCCCCCAACTGCTTGCTTGCCTGCCTGCCTGATTGCCCCCTAACCACTCCCCTGCCAGCTTGATCGATGCCTTAACTGCTCCCCTGCTGGCCCAATTGCCCCTAACTGCCCTCCACTGCCTGCCTGGTTACCCATAACTGCCCTCCACTGCCGGCCTAGTCACCCCTAACTGCCCTCCCCTGCAGGCCTGGTCCCCCCCAACTGCCCTCCCCTGCTAGCCATCTTTGACCACATGGGGGCGGCCATCTTGTGTGTTGGAGTGATGATCAATTTGCATATTACCTCTCTATTATATAGGATTAGAAAGAAGCCAGCCCTTTGTGATATAGGTAGCAAACCTTTTTGGAAAACACAGGCCTAGAGATAGATACTTAATTTGCTGCTGACCCAATATTTTCTTAGTTACAGTGATTACCAAGGGGGTAGGATGGGGTATGTCTCTTTTGAAAAGCATGTTCGATATTGTAGTTTTATATTTGGAAAGCACACAGAAAAAGTCTTATAACATAAAATGTTAAGAAAGTAAAACTTGCTGAAATATTCTTTACTGGTGTGACAAGGTTAAAATCAATTGAAAATGTACCTAAGAATGTGGTTAATTTAAAAAGTTTATATACTGTTGTGAGAAATCACAAAGCTGTTTTAAAAAGAATGTTTTCCTATTCTTTCCACTAGGTTACCACCAAAGAACATGATTTTGGTCTAGGGGCTCCAGTTTCCGAAGCTGGAAAATACCAGAATACTCTCCAGCTAGAACAACAAGTGAGAACTCAAGATAAATTCATCTCTACACTGAAATTACAGGTTACATTTAATTTACATATGTATTTATTTCCCTGAATTAATTTTGGCTGGGGCCTATTTTAAAATAAGAAGGCAGAGAACATTAATTCAGTGCTGGCTTATGGTTTTATTTTCTGGGTCTAAAATCATTTCATTTTTATCTTAACCATTTTGATACACAGAGTCTGAGTCAGTGAGTGCCAACTGTGTGCCTGGTGTTTTATGAGGTGCTTTCAAGTACATAATCTTACTTCATCCCAACCTTGTGAAACTTCTATTTTACAGACATGGACGCTGAAGTTCCAAGAGGTTAAAGAATTATGATACTGGACTAATGAATGACAGAGCTAGGATTCCTCTGAACTCCCCAGTCAGCTAGGATTTGAACCCAGTTCTCTGAACTGCAAGTTCGGTATTGCTTCTACTTTCCTGGTGCCTGGATCTGTGGTGTAGCTCTTAATACATGCCATTTAAGGAAACGGCCTCTTCTAGGAAGAAAGAGTAGACTTACTTTTCCCTATTTTCCCTACTAAGTACAGCTAAAAACCCTGAACATTATGCATAAAACAAACATAGGACAGTGAGAGATGAGAAGAAGGAAGTCGAGTTAGGGACCTCAACACACAGTGAATGACACATTCGTGAGTTCCTGGATTTTTCTGTTTGCTCCATATACTCCAGACAGAGTGCTGGAGAAACGGCACTGAAAACAGTAGGTGCAGACAAAGAAGGATATCAGAAAAGCTGTCTTTTTCTTTAGCCAAAGGACTCGGAGAGGGACAGCCTAGCAAGGCTGACTGCTTTTAGACCATAACTGCCTGCCCTAAGCAACACAATGGAAAAAGCGATTCCTGCCAGCAAGGGCTAAGAGCCCAGACTTCTACCCTTGCCCGCCCACCCACGGTGGCAGTGGTGGACATGTGAGAGCAGTCGCGAGGCACCTCTGCTCTTCCTGCTGTTGTGGTATCAGCAGAGGCCCAGTGAGGAGCCTGAATTTCCATCCCTGCCCAGCAGGAACAAGGAGCTTCACCTTCTCCAGGTGTCCATGGAAGCCTCTGGTAAAAACTGGACTTCCTCCCCTCCCACCCCAAGCAGGAACAGAGCAGTGTCCCTCTTCTCTAGCTGGAGCAGTGTCACAGGAAGCCCACTAAAACACAGGATCCAGAGTCTTAGAATACCAAGTTTCAATTAAAAGAAAAAATCACTCCTTATCCTAAAAATCAGGAAGATCTCAATTTCAGTGAGAAAAGACAGGATATGCCAGGATCGATATGAATTAGATATTACAATGATCTGACAAGGATTTTAAATCAGCCATCTTATAAACGCTTCAGCAAGCATTTTTTACATACCTGGGATATAGAAAAGAAAATAGAAAATCTCAGCAAAGAAGTAAAAGAGATAAGGAGATATAAACAAGAACCATATGGAAATTTTAGAAGCAACCAAATTGTTCCTCAATAAGTGAATGGATAAACTGGTGCATCCATAGAATGGAATTGTAAAAAGAAATGAGTTATCAAGCCACAAGAAGACATAAAGGAACCTTGAAAGCATATAGGTAGGTGAAAAAAGCCAATCTGAAAAGTTTACATATTCTGATTCTAACTACGCAACCTGAAAAAGACGAAACATTGAGACCTTGGAGGGAGAGAGAGATGAATAGAGCGCAGGTGATTTTTAGAGCAGTATTCTGTCTGATACAGTAATGATGGTTACATGTTAGCATACAATTGTCAGAACCCATAGAATCTACAACCCAAAGTATGAACCCTAACTTAAACTGTGGAGTTTAGTTAATCATAAGGTATCAGTGTTGGTTCATCACTTGTAACAAATGTACCACATTGTTACAAGATGTAAAGCAAAGGGGAAACTGTGTGTGTATGTTTGGGGGTGGGGAAACAAAAGGTATGTGGGAAATCTCTGGAATTCCTGATCAGTTTTTCTATAAAACTGCTCTAAAAAATAAAATTTATTAAAAATGTACAGAAGGAAATGTTTGTAAATCATATATCACATAAGGGATTAATAACCAGAATATAGTATAAAGAACTACAACTCAACAACAACGACAAATCCAATTCAAAAATGGATAATGAACTTGAGTAGACATTTCTCCAAAGAAGGTCTATCAATGGCTAATAAATATATGAAAGGATCACCAACCATTAAAGAAATGCAAAACCACAATGAGATATTACTTTACACTCATTAGGATGGCTATTATAAAAAACAAAAAACAACCAAACAAACAAAAAACAGAAAATTACAGGTATTGGTGAGGATGGGGAGAAACTGGAGCCCTATATGGTTGCTGGTGGGAAAGTAAAAATGGTGCAGCCATGTTGAAAAAAGTTTAGCAGCTGCTCAAAAAGCTAAATATAGAATTTCAGTATTTTCCCAGCTATTCTACTCCTAGGTGTATGCCAAAAGATTAAAAGCAGGCCCTCAAACAGATACTTGGACACCAATGTTCATAGCAGCATTATTCACAATAGCAAAAAGGTAGAAACAACCCAGATATTCATCAGCAGATGAATGGATAAACAAACTGGCACGTACATACAATGGAATATTATTCACCCTTAAAAAGAATGAAATTTTGATAGAAGTTACAACATGGATGAGCCTTGAAAACATTATGCTAAGTGAGATAAGGCAGGCACAGAAGGACAAATATTGTACAATTCCACTTATATAAGGTACCCAGAATAGGAAAATTCATAGAGTTTTTGTTTAATGGGTACAGAGTTTCTATTTGGGATGATGGAAAAGTTCTGGAAATGTATGTAGAATGGTTGCACAACATTATGAATATACTTAACACCACTGAATTTTACACACAAAAATGGTTATAATGGTAAATGTTATGGTATGTCTATTTCATCACAACAAAATTAGTTAAAACAAATGTAGTAACTGAATTAAAAACTCAGTGTTCTCAAACAACAAAATACACAGGGAA